GATGCCTGGTCGGCGGGAACCCGGCACGGAACCCCCCGGCGTTGTAGGCGGGTGTGGGAAGCGTTCCCCGTTCTCCTTTTATTTTATTTTGATCGGTCTCCTCGACGCTCTTTCGAAAGTGGTGCGGTAGCTGGTNTTTTGTTTCTCTTCCGAGTGGTTTTTGCACCCTATTTTTTTCTGTTTCTTCGTGGGGTCGTGTATGCCCGGTTTTGAGACCACGGGCTCCCAATCTTTCTTTTTTAGAGCTAATGTGAGAAACAACAACAACAACAACAACAACTGCAGGTACTTTTGTGCAACCACCACAAAAAACTATTCCACCTCCCGATCTAGTAGGCATATAGACGAGACTACTGTACGTTTCCGTTAGGACGTAGGACACACGATGCACACCTACGTGATGACTTGGAAGTGATTACTTCAGTTAGTTCGCGTTGTTGCGTACGCTTGATAAGGCGACGGCATGCATGCATGCAGCGGGGGGCACCGTCTACATCACATACATGCCATATACGGACAGCGGTCTGTCGATATCTCCTGCTGTGCATTATTGCATGTCCCTGCTGTACATAGACATAACTAATATTACCGAATTGGACTCTTCCCAATCGGTGGAGATTTACCGAAAGCTCGGTGCACAGATGCGTTCACTACGAGGCGAGTCTGCCGTGTGTTCTGCTCGATTCAGCCGTCACGGCGCGCCATTCACGACTTCCAGATTCGCTCTGCGCGCTGCGGTATCGCTGAACAAAGCTGGGTTGCGGGGGGTCGCCCGTTCATTTCGCAAGACACTCGCTTTCGAATCTTCGGAGGGGTTGCTGGAAACGTGGACTTTTTTTTGTGCTCGCTCGCGCAGATACATAAGCGCTTTTTTCTTGCAGCATGTGGCTTGCCAGAGTGTTTGGGTACAAGCGCGCCGCCTGCGGCCTCGAGCTTCGACGTGGTGGCAGAGTTTCGTCCGCCTGAAGTCGTCGACCGGAATTTCCGGTGACGTCACACATACTTTCGCCAACATAAGGGTTCCGTCTCTTTGGCTGAACGTCGGAAATCGGCCCAGCCGCGCGTGTTCAGCCCACAGGAATACGTTTTTCAAAAAAATTGGGTGTGGCGTGCTACTTTTCTGCGCCGGTGCCATCCCGCACCCTTTGGGCTACGGAGTACATCTCCGTGCTGAGCTTTCGTGTGGGTGTGTTTGGGTCCGGTGCTGGATCTTCACGCATGGAATGCGGAGAGTCATTCAAAATTTTAGGCGGGTGTCGACTGCAAAGAGCACGCTTTATGGGAATTCGGTTCTTCTCATGGAATAGTGCCTGTTCCGATGCGGCGTAACCTCAGGTGCGGCGTAACTACATGTAACGCATTGTCTGAATTTGATCGCGGATAATTTGAATTTTGACGTGTTATCACTGTATCTGCTGCTCGGAATGCGGCGAAACGGAGCCTTGATTGTTGACGGACTCTCGATTAATTTGATGTTTGGGGCGTGCCTTGACTGTAAGTAACGTTTCATCTTCGTGCGCGTTCTAAGCATAAATATCAGCTATGAAGAAGCATAAATATCTGCTGCTCTGAATGCGGCCTAATTGCTGAATAAAACGTAACGCTTCGTCTTTATCACGAAGAACGGATGGGTCGCCCCGCCCCCACTAAATCATTCCCTCCAGCTTCCACCTTTACTACAAGTTTCGCACCCCGGAGTGAAAATGTTCTCTGGGTCTCCTGCCAAAAAGATCAAATCTTCCTCCTCAACCTCGAAGCGTAAGTTTATAGCCGGCAATCCTCTTTGGCCTTGCCCAAGCATCGTCTGCGTTCCCGGACTTCTGAAGGCGGTCCCCAAAACCAACGGAGGCCTTTTTTCGCCGTGCGATCAGAAGGACTCCCAAGACTCCACCACCTGCCAGGTTTCCTGCTCTATACTCAGCGCTCGCGGGTCTGACCCTCCTATCTGCCAGCTCTGCTTGACTTCCGTTGGAGGAACTCCGTCTCTCGGTGTGCTTTCGGGGGAGAAGAACTCTCAGGGCCGCGACGGTAAGCAACTCTCAACTCGCGCGCTGTTAACTTTTCTTCGTCATAGCGTGACGCGCACGGAGTCGTAGCAGGGCACGAAGTGTCACCACCTTCATATCGTAGGGCCACCACTTGCACCTCTCAACTGGCTCGCTGTAAATCCATCTGCGTCATATCGCGACGCGTCGCTTTGACTGTACTCGATGCAATTCAATTTTATGTATCAACCTTTCGGCCCTCCTCGGTGCAATCACATGTGTCACTCATGTAAATCCGGGTTTGTTTTCTGTTTGATCGAAATAATGTTGGGCACGAAGTGTCACCACCTTCATATCGTAGGGCCACCACTTGCACCTCTCAACTGGCTCGCTGTAAATACATCTGCGTCATATCGCGACGCGCCGCCCGCTTTGACTGTACTCGATGCAATTCAATTTTATGTATCCACCTTTCGGCCCTCCTCGGTGCAATCACATGTGTCCCTCATGTAAATCCGGGTTTGTTTTCTGTTTGATCGAAATTATGTTCCTCTACGCTACCTTCAACGCAGAGTGGCTGAATATTCACGCCTGTTGGACGATCTGCTGCGGGGCGAAGACCTCCGACGGAGAAAAATACAAGAACGCCACGCTCGCCACCGGCGACATCGTTGGGGTATGTATGTTCTGCTGTACTTCATGTCGTAACTTTAATGAGCTTGCGATTTGAAATAACGTCGTCAACTTCAACACGAACCTCAAAACATTAATCTGTTTCTTGCCCCCTTTTTCGCGTATTATTAACCGGTAACAGCGCGCCTGCAAGTGCTCAAACCCGGCATCCGACGTTGAGGACATCACCCACGGCTGCACCGGCGAAATCGAGGAAGGAGACTACGTCGTCAAGGACTGGATCGACCCACCGCTTCACCTTCACTGCGCCAAGCGACTGTGGCGCGCCAAGGTCGACGAGATCCTCACTTCCAAACAAAACCTCAAGGACATCGGCACGACCGCCCAGAAGGAAAGCGCGCAGCCTTCGGCGCCGGCCATCGACCTCTAAAGTAAGATCGATTCAATAGAACAAATTTTAACTTCAGCCTGCATTCTTGCGTGCCATCTGTATTTACATATATATTAAATTTGCCGTCCGCCAAGTGCATTTTAATTGTAATTTTATTCTCAATTTTATGCTCCATATTTTATTACCCCACCCCTCACAAGCCATAAGCGGATGCGTCCACCTCAAGTGCCTTCACGGCAAGAGCCAGACTCTCGTGTTACACGATCGTCGTCTCGGCGACAGTCACAGCAAAATCGGCGACAAACGCGTTCTGCTTCACGGGCAACCTCAGCTGCACGTCAATCTTTGGCACGACAGACTGCACGTAGAGAACATATTGTGCAACAAAACCGAAGACAAAACTCTCTTCGTCCCAGACCACCTAGACGGCCACCATACTGTGCAGACGATACCGATGACAGCGATGACTGCGAAATTACAGACGCAGATCGTAATACAAACAACGATAGGGAGGACGAAAACGACAACGACCTTCGAACAATTCAGAACCATTTCAACCGAATGCGTAATCGGGCACCTAGACGCCCTTCAAATGCAATACACCGTGACGCTAGTGATGATGACGACAGCAGTGGAGACAGCGACAACAGCAATGCCGACAACAACGCTTATGGCATACAGCCTTTCAACTGTCTTCACCCCAATTACCCTGAAACCCCACACCAATTTAACCAACCGTTCCTCGAACACGAAAGCAATCACGTCTGTAAACACTGCGACGCAATTTTATGGAAAGAAGAAAAGCACACGTACAACTGCTGTAACCGCGGCCGATCTGCAATGCCGCGTCTTCGTCCAATTCCTTCCGAACTACTAACTGTGTTCGGCTCAGCCAGATTCCGTTCAGCACAAAGACGATACAACAGCCTGTTTGCATTTACTGGGTTAGGAGCAGGAGGAATTGAAAAGCGTAGTTGGACTCAGCCTTCTGCTCCCTCCATGCTGACCCTTCACGGACGAGCGTACCACAGGATATTTGATTTGCAGGAGCAGTACACGGACATGAACGTGACAAACAACGCCAGATTTTATATCTACGACTCAGAATTCAATTCCCAATCAGCGTCACAACACCTTGACAGTCAAATATCTAATACTCTGCGCCAACACGTCAACACCAACATTCCATGGGCGACACAATACCGTTCAGCCGTTAGCATCATAAATCAGACACCCGACGACAGTTCCGACAAACCGTACATCGAGTTTGCCCAAGTGAGTCGTGCAAATGACGGACCAGTTGTAGGTGACGCCATATCCGCCCCAGAGATTGCTGCATTGGTTTACAACTCAAACACACAGAACAACGGACCACGCACCGTTGTGACATACCCAAGAAACAGTCCCGACAACAAACCAAGATTCTTGCCGCTTTGGAGTGCTGGATACGAAACTCTTCAGTTTCCCATGTTGATGCTGCACGGAGAGGCAGGTTGGAGTAAAGGAAACCAAGAGGAAAACCCTCCGTATAAATCAAAAACAATGAACAAGACAAATGACGCGCATGTCACTTTCCCCTTCTATTGCCGGCAACGACTGCTTTGCGAACCGATTTTTAAACGAAACTGTCGCATCACTCAAGAATGGGCTTGCGACTCCTTGAGTAGAATGGAGGAGGAGCGGTTAACTTTTGTTGAGCACGGCCCTCTACAACGCAGACTCGCCACAGATCGATCCATTCGACAGAGTTCCTCAGACTCACAGCCAGGAAAACTGCTTCCAGCAAGTCACCCAGGATCCATGAGCAAACGCAAGTCTGACACAGAAGATGCGTTGGCAATTGTCAATAGAAGAGGAAAGCCTCACTTATTCATTACCGTGACGTTCAACGCAGACTGGAAAGAGGTGAAAGACAACCTTTTGAACGGACAAAGCGCATATGACCGTCCAGACTTATGTTGTCGGGTTTTCAAGGTGAAGCTGAATGCCTTGATGAAAGAATTAAAGAGCGGAAGGGTTTTTGGAGAATATGACAGCCATTTAAGTGTAATCGAATTCCAAAAAAGAGGGTACCCACACGCCCACATCCTCATGACGTTTAAAAATGGAGGACCCGACCAATTATACCAGATGGATGAATGGGTATGGGCCCAACTTCCCAGCCCCGAACTTGCAAACGGCATTCTCCGAGAAAAGGTACTAAAGTACATGATTCACAAGCCGTGCGGAACACACAACGTCAACTCTCCATGCATGGAAACCAACCGCGACACCAACAGAAGACAATGTAATAAACACTATCCTCAGCCTTTCAGAAGCACGGCAACAATCAACGACCGATCAGGGCGTGCGGAATATAAGCGAACCGACAACGGAGACAACCCTACCATACGCGTAAGAGTTGACGGTAAATGGCAAGATGTCAAAATCGGCAATGAGTGGGTCGTACCCTACAACCCGTACTTACTATTGATGTTTGATTGTCACATATGTGTGGACGTTGTGACTGCCACCTCATGCGTAAAATACCTGTTCAAATACGTACACAAAGGTGCCGATTACGCAAAAGCTAGAATCCAAGGTATTACCAGCGAGATAGAGCAGTACCGTAAAACTCGATACATCTCTGCAGCCGAAGCTACATGGAGACTGCTAGGATTTCAAATGGTCAGTAGGTTTCCTGCAGTCACAAAGGTGCACGCGCACTTAGAGGGCGACCAGTACGTCACATACCCCGATGATGCAACCCCAGAGCAGCGCCTTCAAATTGCCGAAGACTCTCCTTCTGCTCTAATGACATACTTCAAAAGACCGACAGACGACGTGTTCACACCGCAAACGCTACTAGACTACTATGAAAAAAACACCGTCACCAAACCCAAAAAGGGACAAGAAAAGCCTACATCTGCGCCTCCAGGAAAGTTCTTAGACACCTACGGCAATATCATTTCATGTAGATCTGAACGTAACCAACATGTATGTCGAATTGTCTTCCAGAGCCCTGCGGTTGGAGACTTATTCTACCTACGTCTACTGTTGCACACAATACCGGGAAGATCTTTCAACGACCTGCTTCTCGAGCCTCAGCCCAACTCCATTCCATTTCAACACGCAACCTTCCACGACGCTGCGAGAGCAAGAGGATTGGTGACTGGTGACGAGGAATACACAATTTGCATGGAGGAAGCAGCCTCTTTCCAAGTGGCAAACCAACTTCGCGCTCTATTCGTGACCCTTATCTTAGACGGTGGTTCAGCACCAAAATTGTGGTCAGAATTTGAACCGAATTTGATCGAAGATTTTGCCCTAATCATGACACAAGAAGAAGCCATCCAAGCAGCACTTTGCGAAATCGACTTGAAGCTTCAGTTGCACGGGAAAAACAATGAGCAAGTCAACCTTCCTGCGGCTCGCCACTCAAGGACCGAACTCGAAAGAATGAAAGAATCTTTTGACGTAAACACGTGCAAAGAATACGCAGACACTCACGAGCGAAATCTCACTGTAGAACAATACCACGTTTACAACACAGTTATAGCCTCTGTCAACAATGAACTAGGCAAACCTTTCATGATTGATGCACCCGCAGGCACAGGAAAGACGTACACGGAAAAATGCCTAGCTGCAAAACTACGAGGCGAAGGGAAAACAGTATTGATTGTCGCCTCCACTGGAATCGCCGCGCTGCAGCTAACGGGAGGTTGGACAGCTCACTCAATGTTTAAACTCCCAATGGACGAAAACATGTCTCCTTCCTGCGTCTGTAACATAAACGCCCAAACACAAAGAGCTGAGTTAATACGCCATGCAGACCTCATCATATGGGATGAACTACCGATGACTCATCGTTACTGCGTTGAAGCTCTAAATAGAACCCTCAAAGACCTCATGCGAAACGATTTACTTTTCGGTGGCAAAACCATCCTGTTCTCAGGTGATTGGAGACAGACTGGACCTATCGTTAAATTTGGATCTCCCACAGACACCGTAGACGCCGCAGTGATATCAAGCCAACTATGGAACAGTATCAGTCGCCTCAGGCTTACCAAGTCTCAAAGAGATAAAGACGACCCAGCGTACGCCTCTTTTGTCAGAAAAATTGGTGAAGACAAAATACCGTCCACATCCATGCCTGACGGAACCAACCTTATCCCCCTCAATAACCACTCTACAGACTGCCCTGACAAATTTCACCTGCAATATAAAACCGACTTCAACGAATTGGTGCATTTCGTTTACCCCAACATGTCCGACGACGCAACCACATGGAGCGATCGCGCCATCTTAGCCACAACCAACAACGCTATTGATCGATCAAACCAAATAATTGCTGATGAACGTCCCGGTCGTTCAGTATCGTTTTACAGCTCAGATTCTCTCATCAAAGACGCAAACTCAGCACCCACAGCTTTCGCTGCCCCTGAACATCTAAATCAACTAAACGTCTCAGGT